GGGGCAGGGGCGCAGATGGTGTGCAAACAGACGGCCCGGCCCCAAGGCCCGCGGTGGAAGTAGAACTCATGGCCCGGGAGAGGAAAATAATGGAATGGAGGTCCGGGGTCGTGCAGACAGAGAGAGAGAGAGAGAGAGAGAGAGAGAGAGAGAGAGAGAGAGAGAAAGAGAGAGAGAGAGAGAGAGAGAGGGGGGGGAGACAGAGAGAGAGAGAGAGAGAGAGGGGGGAGGGGAGGGGGAGGCACGTATTGTGGTATCGCAACAAGTAGCGCTCCCGCACGCACCGGGGAGAGGTAAACCCTCCCGCCCTGACGGTTTGATTCCACCTGAGGGGGAAAAACGTGCGCGCGGAGGAGGCTCCTGCAGGCTTCTGCAGGCTCCTGCAGGTGAGCTCCAGGTGTGCGCTCTAGGAGCCCCCCCCCCCCTCCCTCTGGCTCCAGGGACTCTACGACGGACTGGAGAACGCGGTGGTGCTGGAGTTCGTGCGCCGCGGTCTTCGATGGAGCGCCCCGGTGCCCAGCCGGCCCACAACGTGCCGCAGACCCAGCACCGCGCGCTCTAAAACGCTGCGCATACCCTATCGTCGGGCGAGCACTGTTGCCAACTTTTGGGCTTGTTTGCACGGGCCAAATAAGATTATTATAATGTGTTTGTGCCGTTGGTGTTGGGCGTCCTCCTCCCCTCGTCTAGTCGGCGGCGCGGTTCATACATATACATTGCATCATTTCAACCAGTGAGCTTGGTCGCGGCGTGGGGCGGCGTGGGGCGGCGTGGAGGAGAGCTTTGGTCAGTGAAGGGCCTATGAAGGGTTCTCTACTGGGGCTGGACCTAGTCAAGCTGCCCCCCGCGTTTGCGAAGCAGATTTCTCACGCGCGTGAAGGTTCAAGGGGGTTAGGGGTTCAAATAAATTACTCCGCGAAAGTGTTTTCTTTTTCTATGACGACATCGTAAGACAAACGGCATAGAACATTTTCTGTGGCTGCTCTTGTGTGTGTATGGCAATGACATGACATAGATAACGCATGGCGGTAACAGCGAGTAAACATAAACTTCCATAATTGCCCTGTCTCTGAGTCCGTCGAGTTCAGCGACCCCGCGACGAGGCACCTGTTGTGTGGCACCCGAGCGTTATCCCACCAATGAAAGACACGGCTTGACTCTCATCCGGAGATCGAGCGGACGTCCGCAAATATGTAGGTCAATACAGCAACGCGTAACGGATTCTGTAAAAAAAAGGAGGAAAGAAAGACAATTATTGTAAAGTCATCGCCCAGCCTTGCCTACCCCAACATGAGTCTTATTGGCAACTATATGCATACCCTTTGCCCGCCTTCATCTGATCGATGGCCCAGTTGATCTGGTCGTGCTTGATCGTGTCCGTGATAAACAAGCCACAGTCTATCTTGCCTTCCACGATTTCGTCCACCTGAAAAAATTGTCGTCGAAACGGCGATAAGATAGTGTGTGAAGTGGAAAATGAAAACAGTTTAGAGCACCAACTCTCCCTACCAGTTTTGGAAGGTCAAGGCGGAAACGGAGACCTCCAAAGTAGCATCCACGCAAATTCTTTCCGCCCAGGAGGTCGATGGGGTGAACCTGCATGAACTTCTCTGGGTCAGAGGAGACGCCCAGCACCGTGCAGACACCGCCCGCGGGCCGCACCGACTCGTACGCGGCTCTCTTAAAACAAAAGAGGTTTGATAATCTGCAAAACGATCTTCAGATAATAAGGCTGTAAAACTTTGAGTAACACAGCCGCACAGCCGTACCATGGTGTGCACGTTGCCGATGCTCTCGAAGGTGAAGTCGCATCCCTCGAATGGGGACCTCTCCTGCAGCACCTTCTGGATCGGCTTGTCTAGCTTGGTGGGGTCGATGAACTCTGTGCAGCCGAACTTTTTAGCTGCGAAACCGGAAATGAGATTGCGTTACTCGTGGTTTGGGGAGGATGGGGGGGGCGGCAGCTGCTGGAGATAAATGCGTAGACACGACACCCCCGGGTACTGACCGAGCTCCGCCTTCTCGGGCGAGATGTCGACGCCGATGATGGTCGAGGCCCCCGCCAGCTTGCAGCCCAGCACGGCCGACAGCCCCACGGCGCCCAGCCCCCACACGGCGCAGGTGGAGCCGGCGGCGACCTGGGCCACCGCGCGCGCCGCGCCCACCCCCGTGGGGATGCAGCAGCCCGCCACGCCCACTTTGGTCAGGTCGGCCTTGGGGTTGATCTGCATGTCAAAGTGCCATCGCCATCAGTTACAGGGATCATTGCAGTTCCACACAGCGCGAGGAACTAGGAACTTTAATGAGCCAGAAATGTGTTTGAAATTTTTTCCTGAAAAGTTTGAATTTTTCAGGTTTTTTTTTTGACAAATTTACTATATTTTCTGACGAGTTTCCATTTTTTGGGGATAATTTTCACTTTCAAAATTCCTACGACGCACTCACCTTGGCGACGCAGGGCTCGTCGGCGACAAAGTACTCGGAGAACGTGGCGCAGCCCAGGAAGGTGGTGAGGGTCTTGCCCTTGCACGACAACCTCGAGGTGCCGTCCGACATGAGACCTTTAGCCTGAAGAAGGTGATGGCAAACGTTGACCGGACAAATGATGTTAGAGGTAGGGGAAGTCAGGGAATAAAATCTATTATGCCATTTATAGGTTCGGCGAGTTTGGCGGGTTTTATTGCCTGTAGTAAAAGCAGTGATCCTGGCTGGAGTCGGGGCTCACCCTGGTGTCCTTGGCGTAGATGCAGAGGTTGGTGCCGTCCATGGCGCACAGCGGGCACTCGCCGCACTGCGCGGCGAACAGGGGGATGACGGCGTCGCCGGGCTTGAGGCCCTTGACGGCGGGGCCGACGCTCTCCACGATGCCGGCGCCCTCGTGGCCGAACACCGTCGGGAACTCGGCCTCGTGCATGCCCGGGATCACCATGCCCTTGATGCCGTGCAGGTCCGAGTGGCAGAAGGACGTCGACACCATGCGGATGCGGACCTGTGGGCGTAGGAAAGGCCCGCCCCGTTAGCCAGCAACTTTGTATTAATGCCTCCGTGCAAAATAACCGTCTCAACGGCCGATATCAAATCCTCTCCGCTAACGTTTCTAGATATACAATCAACGTTTACGACAACGTTAAAAGGCCATTTTGAGAGTAATTTTCCACTTTGAGTTGCAGTTTCGCGACTGTACCTCATTATTTCTCGGAGGCTCCACGCTGATGCTCTCGATGACGAGGGGCTCATCCTTGGCCCAGCACACCGCCGCCTTGCAGTGAATCACCTGCAATCAGGAAGACGGTGTTTGTGTGGAGATATCGACCTGCGCTAGTGAAGTGCCCCGTGAAGGAGCAAAAAAACAAACAAACTATTGGCAGCAAACAACTGTATTTTAACGATTTGAAAACTCTTATCAAAGTCAGCCACCAGATGTGAAACAACGGTGAAGTACGTTTCGGGGGCTCTCGCTTCTCTCTTTAAGCGCAGATTTGGACATTTTCAGCTCTTTTCGGCCAGGTGGTGCCCACTTCCTCACGATGCTAACCGCAGGCCGTGCCTGCGTGCGGGTGGCCTTCTCTCGGCCGTAAGGCACCGTTCGTAGTCAAATGATGTGCTTCGCGAATTTTGAAACGTGGGTTGTAATTCATCCGGACCCGGAGTTAGGTCATGTTTTATAGCTTCTCGCCTTTGTCCTCCCCCCCCCCCCCTCTCGGTCGAAAAGTCGATTCGTCCGGGTCCACAAAACGCAAATGTTATTTATGCGTGCCGTATTTAAAAGCAGCCGCCTGGGCACCTATGAACACGTTCCCTGCGGCGAATTTTTGGTGCGTATGATTTAACATGGGGCCGTGACTACATAGTGGTCACGCCGCAAGGAACGTGTGAAGGGCCGACCGACTGTCGTCGAGCACACAGCAACAAGCAACTTTCATGCCTCTCCCTCCGAACTCTGAACCATGACTCAGACGCGAGGACAACCGGTTCCAGTGTCTAACGCGAGGAAAAACAAACACACGGAACCATCCTAAAACAAAATTTGTTGAGCGCAAGCAGAGTTTGTATCGGGGCCAACAAAATGTGCCGCTCACTGCTGCACGCCCAATCTACCTGCATACAATGTATTTTATTTTATTTTTTCGAATCACAAAGCTTATTAATTAGTGGTTATCTGTTTGATATGGACCGTGGCTTCCGCGACGAGTATCGAGCGGTGGTTTGACGTGACGACGGCATGAAGTAGTGCCCCTTCGTGCCCCATGGGATGTCTCAATGTCACGGGATAGTCAGACTCCCCCCCCCTCCCGGTCGAAAATAAAAGCGCGTCGCAAAAAGTCACCGTGACCATATGCCGCTCCACGTTTTCGTCTTTCCCATCGTAAATACAGTTTTGACGACCATATTTAAAAAAGGGCAGCTCTGGAATTAAGTCTGCAATGGCCATGGACTCCAAGTCCATGGACTCGAACGGATCCAGGATTCCATGAACTTGACTCGGGCCCAAGTCTTGGCAAACTGCATTTGTTTTTCAGGGTTGGACTATAATAGAACTTAACACAATAAAAGGGCGGATGCCCAAGAAAATTTGAAATAATAACTGAACCGACGACGCCGCTGGGCGTGGCCGGCGCCGAAAGACGTTTCTTCAAAGACACACCACAGCAATTAGATGATGTATACCCCCCCCCCCCTCCTCCACGCGGGACTCACCTTGCCTGCCGTGGCCATCGCGTCCGTCTCCTGTGTTGAACGACTTTGCTACCGAACGTGTCTCGCCACACTGAGCCGGCCACCGGCTCCGACATACGAGTCAGCCTCCTCCTCATTATATCAACCGGAGACATGCGAGCGGTGCGGCTCAGAGTGGAGGTGGAGGGGGGAGGGGGCCTAGACCGGCGCCTTATTGTGGCTGTAAAGTTCACACAATGTCAATGACGGCAGGGCGGTGCCTTGGTGGAGATAAAAGAAATGTAGTACAAAATTATCAGCGTTATCAGTTGTGTGTGTCTGTGCGTGTGTGTGTGTGGTAGTGAGAGAGAGAGAGAGAGAGAGAGAGGGAGAGGGAGAGGGAGAGG